AACATACTCTTGCAACATGGGCTTTGCTTGGACGAATGGAGGCACGCTGACGCGGAGATCGACGGCGGCGCATGGACCTCGTTGTGCGACAGCGGCACGGGTGTGGCAGAACCGCCCGAAATAACACACTTACGGTGGTGCTCGTCTTCCACCAGACTCTAAGCACCCCGAAAGCAAAGCTACAACGAGCGGTATCCGCCGAGCACACCCCAAGGGAGAACCCGAAAGATCCACATTTTTCCAAGGATCCAATAATGAGAACGAGTTACAATATTTGTCCATTTCATACATCAGAGTTTCTTAAAAGTACATTATTACAATACCAAATATCAAAGTGCGGAATGACAAATAGCGGAATTTAAAATAAACATCTAGCGATAAGAACGAGGATCCGTCTGAGCCCACCAGAAGAATCCTCCACACAAAGGTACATCTCATGCATCACCTGCAACAGGGGTAAATAAACCCTGAGTACATAATGTACTCGCAAGACTTATCCGACTAGTGGGAATAATTTCCCGACTCCAAGGAATATGAGAAGATTTATGGTTTGCCAGTTTATTTTTGCAGAAAGCAATACTAATAGTGAGTCCTTATTTATATTATTATTATCAGCCGTATTAAGTTATTATCTATCCAGTCTATATAAGCACATGTTCTACTTTCAAGCAAAAGTTGAGCAATCAGTTTCATTTCTTCTCCTTCCATCTTTCAGTTCTTACTACGGTGCTAGACCCAAAAACAAGCCGTACCGGATCGCCTGACGATTCATGAATCAATACCCCCAGCTGGGTACCCCGAAAACACACGCCCCACTTGTACCTCAGGCACAAACAGGACTAACCTATCACCCTCCTATCATGGGTGTCCAGGTCCCCGTCCAAACTTGGACTCAAGCCCCCACTCTTGAGTCCCGGACTCAGTGCGGTGCAAGGACCTCCACCATCTCCGCCTTCAATCAGTCGGTCCGAAAAGAGCTGGATCCACGATAGGAGAGCAACGAGTCTTCCCTACGCCCATACACAAGTATGCGCTCGGGATAATAGATCTGTGACTTGCCTCGAGACTTATGCAATGGCCGGTCCTTAATTGACACAGACAGAGAAAAAGTGTAACCGAGCTATGCCCTATTGGCCGCAGGACACAACCTCTTACACTCACCAGTACCCAAACCATATTCCTATCCGGTCGCCATTTATTCTTTCCATTATTTATCATGAGTGATCGTAATTATCACCTATTTGTGAATAACGACAGGTTACAGGTTACCCACGCTACCGATATCCTGAGCATAGCAACTACTCGGCCTATACTAGTAGGACTCATGGGTAGATATATTTATGCATGTAGTTTCCATAAAATGCCTGTAACTTAAATGCACATCATATATATATATATTCAGTGATTATTAAAATAGGGTTTATGCACTGGGGCTTCCCTTGGGCAGGCGGGGTGTCAGCAAAGTCAGCAACTGATGGCTCTGGGGTTTCCTCCTGCACGAGAACCTCCTCCTCGTACTCCTCGATCACCTCCTCGTACTCCTGCTCGCCCGCAGTCACGAACTCTACCAACTCATTATCTACATGCATGAAATGATGATGCAACGCTTAGTAATACGACAACAGCAACTCTTAAAATAAAAAAACATCTACCAAGCTACTAAGCTAACTCTAATGACTAATATGCAAAGTTACCTATTATTTCCACTAAACAGGTATGAAACATTTCATGTATCATCTTAGCAACTAAAGGCACCTTTATTGTTAATATCAATTTACTATATATATGATAAAACAAGGTGCACTAGCTACCATATTTATCAACCTATTCTAAGGCTACAAAAATTACAGTGATCACATAATAATACAATGAACCTATTGTAAAAGAATTTTAGGGCTAGCACTTCTACCAATGCATCACAAAAATTCATTCTCTAAATAACCATAATAATAAAACGTATTTCAAAATAATAAAGTAACTCTAAAGGTATCACTGAACTATACGAACTAATTACACTAACAAATAAATCATGAATTTAGAAATCTAACAAAATTTATTTCACAATAAATAAATAAATTCAATTGGGCTCTAGAGATAGAGACAATGATATGGATGGGTAGAGTGTGATTTTAGATGAATTTAGGAAAAAGAAATAATGTAATCGGTGCTTGGATGAAAGAGATATTGATTTTGCCAGGTGGCCGCTAATTAATCCCGTAAAGGGTGATTAAGGAAAATGATTAGTGGCATTTGGCTAGCTGGTCACGTGAATTGGATTTCACGTGATGGACTTGGAGTGGGTCTTTGGTCATAAGTGAATTAATTCAAATGCTGGACTTTGAGTGGTCTTTGGACTTAACGAGCACATCAGGACTGGAGTGTGCTTTGGGCTAAACGTGCTAGGCGGTGGGGTGCTGGTTAATTCATACAGGTCAAGGAATTAATGGAGGAGGATAAGGAGGGGATTTTTGTAGGCTGGCTACCTCAGTCGATTGCAGCTCAGGAAGAAAGTTCGACAGAGCACAGCTTTCTCGAGCAAGGCAGAGAAACTTGATTTGGGGAGGAAGAAGGTGAGCGACGAAGCGGGACGGCTCGGCGTGTCCTTTTAAAGACAGGAGACGCGAAGGCACGACAGCGACGCATCGTAAGGTTAGTGGCTAACTAGCTTGCTTAAAGGTAATAAAGCGCTGCTTGCGCATGACGTGCTGCTCGGATGAATATTGTTTTCTACGGTGAACAGTGTTTCTGCGCTGCTGCAGTGCTGCCACGTGGAAAAGTGCCTGAGCTACGTTTGCAAAGCAACTGAGCAGCGAGCAAGCGGCGTGCGCTGATAATTTTGCAAGGCGATTAGCAAGCGAAGTAAAGGCGTGGGTGATTAGAACAACGAGAGAAGACAGTGGCGCGTCGCGAGATTGATGGAGATATAAATCTTGCCAAGTGGTATGCTAATAATTAGTGAATGACAATAATTTGTCATTTGACTTTGTGGCTATGGAGCTCTCACGTGGAGAGAGATGACGTGCTGGAAGGGCAACTTGGACTTCACGACGCTTGTTGGACGTGATGACCGGGTGGATCCTAGTGAATGCTATTTGGGTACATTAGTGTGGGTCTAGAAATAATGGATGACACGCGAATTTCTACGAGCTGCTGCGGTCGGTCATCTTCGTTTGCTGAAGAGCGCGTTCAACACGCTAGAGGTTGCTGCCTAACTCGCCATTCAAGACACGGCGAAGTAATGACACTGTGGCGAAACTTGTCAGTGAAGGGTACTGTTAGCGTGCTACGCGGGCTTGCTCTACAAGTGTACTGAGGGCGTGCTCGGAGGATCAAGGAGATGAAATAGCGAGAGATGGAGTTGGATCAGGATGACAATAGTGAGTTGAGCTGTGCTGGAGAGTATTTAGACAAGGAATAAATTAGAGCTCAAATTGAGAATTAGTGTAATAAAATTTAATTTCTCATTTTACCACATGCAATAACACATAAACATGATGCTCATGACATGGTTTTAGCAAAAACTGTACAAGGTAACACCGAGGGTGTTACAACGGGCAACTCGCTGGCGGGTGCGGCGTCACACAAATCTCGTCCCCCTCGCCTGCTTGCTAGAGCATCCGTCGTGGAGGCTCGCTGGCTCAGTGGAGACAGTCGTGGCGAGCGGGCTGGCCGTGGCGAGGAGGTAGCGTGGTGGAGGCGGGCAAGGCAGACTGGGCCGGTGGAGAATGCGGCGCGGAGGAGGCCTGGGGTGGGTGAGGTGGGGGCGCGGTGCTGCGAGGGACCGTCGGCGACGAGACGGAGTGGGGTGGGCGGATGGGTACGACGACGCATGGAGGAAACGGTGCAGCGAGCATCGGGGCGTGCGAACAGGACGAGTGGATAGGGTTGCTGGACGAGCGACGCGTACGAGAGTGAGCGGTGGAAGGCGTCTGTCCGTACGGGGGTCTTAATTGTATCATTATCGTAGAGATAATGGTGCAATCAAAATTTATTTTAGATACCTAATTTGAACTTTTAATTTCTTATGTAATTATGGTGGGCTTTATTGCTACTCAATTGTATTGGGCCACAAATCGTAGCAGGAATAGGGGAAGGGATGTGCGGCGTGAGGTTTGCCTAGGGCTGTACAAAATACTCGCGGCTCGTCAATTCGCTCGACTCGTGTCCGGCTCGGCTCGGCTCGTTTTAATTTTTTCTTGAGCTGAATTGGAAGTCTAGCTCACTGTTTTAACGAGCCAGCTCGCGAGCTGCTCATGAGCTCAAACGAGCTGAGGCCTATCAGCCCACGACCATGAATCCAGAAGAAGATGATGCTGACCTAGAAGTGTACACCTATTTCATTGATATATAATCCTTATTTTCAGTTGTTTCATATGAATTTTGATTTTATAATTGTTGTGGTACTTAAATGTTGATTTATGGATTGTTTTCCAGGGAAAAGATGACGATGCTGACATTGAATTTGTTGACTTTCCTAAGTCTATGGTGGCAAACAACTAGTAAGTATGCTGGAACTGCATGGATCATAGATGAATCAACTATGTTGTATAGTTGATACTTTTGATGAACCTGATATGTATTAATCATGTATGATTGTATAACGGTGGACATCACCTTTTAAAATTATTATGACATGAATATTATAAATATAAACATTATAAACAAGCTAGTTCGAGCTCACTAACAAGTTGAGCTGAGCTACCCCGACTCGTAATATTAAGGTGCCGAGCCGGGCTGTCTCGATATCTAGCATCTGCCACCGACTACGGTGGCGACGAGCGGTGGAGAAAAGGCTTCCCGCGTCAAATCAAAAATGCAAAATGGAACTAGAATCAACGGGCCAGTGGAGTTAACGCCGAACAAACACCAACTGAAACCCTAGAGGAGTTAACATCGCCTCGTCGCCTTCAAACGTTGCCCCCTTCCAATCGATCGAAACCTAGACGCAGCGACGATTTTTTCCAATCTATCGAAACCTAGAGGCAGCCACGATTTCGGAGATGATCAGTCTCAAGAAGTTCGTGGTTAACTGGGCGGATCGGGCCGAATCTGCTCTGAAGAAGGGTTGCAGGTTATACCCGCCGGGGGAGATCTTCGATTATCTAGGTATGCTTTTGGTTGTTCTTGTTGCAGAAATCTACTTTGGCAACTCGTCATTTGATTTCTTAATTACTTTTCTGTAACCTGCTTTCTTGCCATGTATCTATTCGGGTTCGATCTGGAACGTATGGATTCCTTGTGCATAGAAAAGCTGATTCGCAGCAAGGGTCAGCATAGATAGATTTGCTGTTCTTAGTGTACTGGTTGATGATACTACGTTTCTATTTTCTCAGGCATAGATTTAGATTTCACTGCACTTATTCCTTTCCGCCCCGATCTTTGTATGCAAGATCTTCTCGAGAGGGGATGGGGATGGGACAGGCTTACGCTATGTTCGGAAGCAACGAATAGCCTCACAGATAAGAAATATCTCAAGGAATATTACCGCCACAACCGTGCCCTTTCTCATTTTAGCACGGTTTGCGGTAATATTCCTTGAGATATTTCACAAACTTCAGCAGAGGACCCTGACCCACACCCACCCCGAGGCTCCTGTCCCGCCACCGCCGACAGCCTCCCGCCAGCGCCGGGCGCCCCGCCCCCTCCCGCCTCCACCTCCCACTTCCCCTCCCATCCAACTCCCGGAGCTTGATTAAGCCGCCCCAGTCAAACCCTAGCTCGATGACGCCGCCGCCAGCAGTGACGCTAGCCGCCTCCCCACCGTCGGCGCACCCCGCCACCTCCAACCCCTCCACATCCCCCTCCCAATCCACCTCCCCTCCACTCCCCACCCCCGACACCGACCCGTGCATCCGCCGATGCCAGGAGCCCGACCTAGCCGCGCTGTGGGTGCTACCGAGCCCATCACCGTAAGATCCGGTGCCGGAGTGCAACTACGGACTCCCTCTCCGTCCTCGCCGCCGCACACGCTGCCGGTGCCGGGAGGCAGTGCCGTGGGCCCCTCTGCTCCGCCGCCGGGAGCAGACGACGCCGGCGCGACCAGCTCTGCCGCGTCCACGCCACCCCCACGGCCGCAACCGGATGATGCCGCCGCCGCCGTTGCAGCACAACACGCGGAAGCTAGAGCAGGGGCGAGCGCTGCCCCCGCTGCCTCCGACCTCGACGCCTTCCTCGTCCGCCCCCGCTCCGAGCCTGTCGTCCACCCTATCCCCACAAGTCACCCCTTTCCATCCTGGGGGTAGCACGGCGGGACGCTTCAAGGTCCGTCGTTGGGCGGACGACAACCTCCTCGACGACTCCGATGCGGAAGCCACCTCCACGATCCCCTACCTAGACACGGTTCGCCAGGAGCCGCAGCCGCCGAGGACGTCGACACTGCCTGTGATGTCCTTGCCGCGCACCCAACCTCTAGCGTCGGGCCGTGGCGATGCGGTGGTGGGTCGCCAGGGTGCTGGGCGAAGGTGGGGGAAACATAGTCAGTCACGCCCACAGCTGTTGTACGGCATGCCGGCTCGGCCAGTGGAGGGCCGCATCCCGACACGCTAGCGCCTCAGACGCCGTGGATGGGTCTCTGCCCCCAACGCCGATGGGTGGCGGGAGATCCTCCACCGGCAGGAGACGTGACCTGCGGCTGCCTCGGCTGGGCCACGAGGGCCAGCAAGTGGAGGCCAGCCAGCGAGTCGTCGACCACCGAGGCGCATCCCGACAGATCTTCACGGCAAGTGCCTCAATTGCCTCTCCTCCGCACATCGGGTGGCAACCTGCAAGCTGCCCCAATGATGTGCGGTGCAGGGGATTTCGACACATTGTGCACGACTGCAAGCAACCAAGGCGCTTGGGCTCTCGGAGCTCGGGCGATGCAAGAGCCATGGGTCGCCAGCCGCAACACCCTCTTCGTGGCACCCGTAACGCCTGCTCCGCTGGGCCGGCGGACCATGGTGGCTCGTAGGACTCTAGTGGGATCAAGTCGGGCAACGCCGTTCCTGCCACCGGTGGTCGCCGGCGCCGAAGACGGAGGCGTAACGGGCGGTCGGCAGGGGCCGCACAGGCAGCACCGGCCTTCACCTCGGTTGTTGCTGAAGCTCAGCCTGGGCACGGTGAGCTGTCCAGCAAGACGGGCATTGTCCAGCCTGACCCGTTGACGCTGACACCGTACCCAGACGCTATGCATAGTCGCGACATCACGGAGGACCCGATGTTGGAGGAGTTCATAGCATCGCTCGCCAGCAGTCGGATCATCGTGTGGCCTTCTCTTGAGCGCCTGTTGTCACCTCCGGTGGCCCCCCAGCTACAAGATGAGGCTCCGGCAGTGACGGCCCCCCAGCTGGAGGATGAGGACCCGGTAGCAGTGGTCTCCTGTGCGTTGTGGACACCACCTCCGCGTCCCATTCACTGGGCAGTGGACTCACCGCCGGTGGATACCCACCTGACCGAGGACAATGACGACTCCACCAAACGCCGCCTCGATAGCTTCATCAACAAAGTGACGCGTAAGAGGGACTCTCCATCGATTCGTGAGCCTCCAAAGCAGCCTCCTGCTAAGCCAATGGTGCCGTGCATGAGCAGGTGTTGGCGGCTCAGCCCTCTCTCGAGTACGCTTCCAAGCGAGGTGAGGTGTTGATCATGCAGCGTATGGGCTTTACCAAGGGTCCACCAGCGCCATCCGCGTCGGAGCTGGAGGCATATGACAAGCTCTTCGGCGGCGATCGGACTGCGTCCGAAGCCGAAGCGCTCGACGAACTCTTCCCGGCTGTTCGGTCTAGGTAGCCGCGAAGACGCACCATTGTATCGGTATTGGTTGTTTCCTTTAGAGGTCTCTTGCTATGATGGTCCAGCTGCGGCTGTGTTAGGTTGACCTCCTTTGTCGCTCGATACAAGCGCGTTGTATGTTTGTCAAAACTCTTCTACTTAATACAATGATACGCAAAGCTTTTGCGTATTCGAGAGCAGAATGAGAAAGATGACGGTGCTGCTGTTAATGGTAACACAGATTGGAATGAGCTGACTTCTCACTCCATCTTGGTAACCTTCCGTCTTAATTTGTGACATCCCATCTCATTTTTGTTTGCACATTTTCTTTTTTTGTTTTGGGCAGTCATGTAATGGTAACGAATCTGTTGCAGCATGAGCAAGAAGATTATGCTGATGGTAATGGCATCCGAGATGGGGGTATCCTGGTTCCTCTAGTCAGTCTGGTAACTTTCTGCATTAAGCAATTGTAGCGTTTCATCGCTTGTTAATTTACTAATGTGCTTTTATTATTTTCATGATCCTGGAATGGATATGTGTTAAAGTGTATCAAGATGGAGAATCAATTCATCTCTGAGTGTGAGAGGCAGGGCAAAGCAGATCAAACTGCTGATCATATCATGCTGAGTGAAGAGATCCAGGGACGTGCACTTAGTCTCAAGGACATGGATGGTGAATTCCCTGTCGCTGCTGCAGCCTTAATGGTACCCTTTTTTTCCCACTGAGGAAATAAAATAAAAAACTGGTCTATTCATGTTATTAGATGTTCGTGAACTGACTTTCTCACCTCTTGCAACATTATGGTTCAAGTTTATCACTAAGAAGGCCGAGTTAATGTGTGAGTGGATGAGGCATGGGGCTTATAATCCTGATTCTAAGGTCACTAAGGTTCGCCGGTATGCTCTAGACCTTATGATGTATAGAGGCTCTGATTCTGACCGCGCAGCTGCCGTTTTGGTGGTATGTGCCATTCTCCATGAAACAAGCTCTGGCCTACTTATTTTGTGTTTATATCCTGCGATGTGTATGGATTCTATTAACCAACTACAAATTGATTGTTTTAAGGGTATCTCAAAGGACACTAAGATGATCTGCGAGTGCTTGAGGCAAGGCACACAAGTAGAAACCTTACGGTGGTGGTCCAAGGCAATCATGGAGAATGGTTGGGATATCTTGTGGCTGCTACATGATGAATGTATTTCTTCTGGCAATGGGAATGGCACTGCTACTACCAAAGCAGGAAACGCTACACAGTATGATCAGTTTTATCTTATTTCTCAAATATTTGCAGGAGTTCTATTATATATGCAAAACTAACATTCTGTACGGATTTTCAATTCTGAGGGCCTGGGAGGCTTTGTAATACGTCATTGTGCTCTTCTATTGACAGGATGAACTATAAGAAGCCAGATGGCGACAAAAATTCCAAGGATATAGGAAACTTGGTTATTGAGAAATATTCTGAGATTCACTCCGATAGCCTGATTGATATGAGGGAACTTGCTGTAGAGTGGGCGAATAGTGTTCAAGCTTATCTGAAGATGGATTCGGTGTTGCTACCCCGGGTGGGATCTTTGATCACCTAGGTATGCTGTTAGTTGTTCCGGAATTCAATCTTAGCAACTTGTCACTTGATTGCTTTGTTGTGTTTTGTTACCTGTTTGCTTGCTGGTTGTGGTTGGTTTGCTTCAAGACTGAGAGATTGATTTGTTGATATTGTGGCTTTAACGTAGTAGTTGTTGCTGCTATATTTGTTGGTTTCTCTAGACATGTGTGGCTGCCATTTATATTCCTTTTCACCCTCATCTTTGTATGTGTGATTGTGTGGTCAAGATCTTCTGGAGGATTTGTTCGTCTTGTTTAGTGTAGTGATTGTTGCTGCTATATTTGTAGTATTCTCTTGACATATGGTTTTCACATATTCCTTTCCACCCTGATCTTTGTATGTGCGCTCAAGATCTTCTCGAGAAAGGATGGGGAAGGAATAGGCTTGTGCCGTATATTGGATGCCATGACTGGTCCAGCTACAAGAATTATATCAAGCAATATTACTGCCGCAACCATACTAAACTTGTTGCCCAGGCATGCCCGAATGAGAAAGTTGCCAGTGCTGCTGGTATTGGCTACATAGATGGGAATGGGCTGACTGCTCCCTGCTTGGTAACTTTCTACCTTAGTTTATAGAGCTCCATTTCTGTTGATAAAGTTCCTTCAATGCCACTGAATATTATAGAAGTACCATATAGTGCCGAAAAAATTTGGCCACCCCTTGACTGCCACCGATTTAAATTTTCTTTAACCTGGCTGCCACTCCGGTCCATTTGACCTTAACTAAGGCGAAAAGAAAAACCAAATTGCCCTTCCCTTTCTTCCTCCTTTGGCTTTCACGTCCTAATCGAATCCCAAAATTCTTTCACCAGCCAATCTGAATCAGGATACTCTCGACAAGGATTCTAAGCTAATGCAGCACAACCTCGAGGCCTCCCCCCCATTATGCCCGTAGATCATCCCACATGGCTGCATGGGCAGTTTGGTCGTGAAGCACTACCTGGACCTGCTGGAGCTTGATGACCATGGCGGCCATTGAGTCGTTGACCTCTGAACTGTCAACGAGGATGCAGATCTGGAGGAATGTGCAGCTAGTTGACCAGAAGGCCTGGGGTCCGTGGAGCTGCTGCACGCACACGCTAGCACCGTCGTGGAGTTTGTCAAAACCGGCAAAACCAATGATTCTCAAGTTATTTGATGAACAGCTTGCTTGTATGTTAACCGGTGGACATTGAAGGCGACAGGTCTTCCTGACATTGGTACATCCATCAATTTGCTAAGCTTTTCATCCACAAGCAGTAGTGTGCTGCCGTAGTCCATGGTGTCCCAGGTAGTGGAACCTTCCTGCAGAGGAGAAACTTAGAAGAGGTGTGATAAGAGGTTGACATGTGGACCAAAGGGTAGGAATGGCATTTGGTAGAAAAACTGACAAGGTTTTTTGGGATGTATGGTCTTACTGTCCTCTAAAAGTTAGTGGCAAAATTAGTGGAAAGAAAAACTAAACCAGTGGCAGTCAAGGGATGGCCAAAATTTTGATGACACATAGTATAGGGGGGTTGCTATAATATACAGTGGCACTGAAGGAACTTTCTCTTGTTTTGTTTGCTCATTCTCTTATTTGTTTTGGACATTCACAGAATGGAAACAGATATGTTACTCATTGGAGGAAAGAGCAAGAAGCTTGTACTACTGGTAATGGTGCTGGAGTTGGGACTGGCTTGGCTCCTCTTGTGAGGATGGTAACCTCCTGCCTTGTATTATAGCATTCTATTGCTTCTTAATTTGCTAACTTCTGTTATCATGATGGTGATGGTTTCAAGTGTGTCAACATGGAGAAGAAATTTATCTGTCCCAACGGCAAGGTGTAGGAGGTGATGCTTCTGGTCATATCATTCTGAGTGGAGAGATCCAGGAGTGTGCACTTAGTCTCATGAACTTGGAGGGTGAATTCCCTGTTGCTGCTGCGGCCTTGATGGTATGTTGTTCCCTTGGCACATGACCAGAAATTGGTCTACTTAACTTGCAATTCATCTTATTTGATGTCTGTATTAATTTGCACCTGTTGTCAATTTGTGTTTCAAGTGTATCATGAAAAGTGCTGAGTTGATGTGCGAGTTGTCGAGGCTTGGTACCGTTAATCCCGAGTCCATGGCCACTGATGTCCGCCAGCATGCTTTGAATCTTATGATGTACAGAGGCTCTGAATATGCTTGTGCTGCTGGTGTCATGGTGGTACGTGCCAGTCTCCACCAAAACAAAGCTCTCTCTTACTAGTTTGTGTTTATTCTTTGATGTGAATGGATGCCCTGGATTAATTGCAAAACTGTTGCTTTAAAGGGTATTGCAAAGGAGACGAAAATGATCTGCAAGTGTTTGAGGCAAGGTGAAAGCATAACCAGAGTGCACTGGTCCAAGACAATCATGGAAAATGGTTGGGATGTCTTGGAGATGCTACATGATGAATTTCTTTGTGCTGGCAATGGGGATGGCACTGCTGCTACTGAAGCAGGAAACTCTCCACGGTATGATCAACGTCTTCTGCTCATATACCGTAGGACTTACTTTGTGTATGCAAAATTTACATTCTCTATGGATTTTCTGCGCTGAGCCTAAAAGGGATAATAGCGTCATTTTGTTGTACGGTTTTGAGGATTAATACTGTTGGGGAACTAAATCATAAGAAACCTAACGATGAGAAAAATTCTGAGGAGCGACAATGTAAAGTTTATGGGAAGAATGAACTAGAGGATAGAAGCGGTCAGTGACTCAAATTGTGGACCAAGACGAACAAATGCGGAAGGTAGATATGTATTTCTTATCTTCTTAACTTAGTGGCAGAGGTCTTGTCCTTTCGTTCAATAAAAAATTGGACCACACCAATATTCAAGGTGGTTATTAGAAGAACACACTTATCGCTCTCAGAATCGTAGAAGCCCATGCCACCTACACACTTATATATTTTTATCATTTTTCATGTAAATCAATGATTTTCGCCACCCTCCAAGAATTAGAATCCGACCAACTAACAAAACGATTTGGAAAAGTGATTCTAATTCACCACACTAGAAGAAATGTTTCTAAGAAAAAACTGAATCCGAAACGTTTCAAAGAGAAGTTGGATCTCTACCAAACGCACCTTAAGTATATATAGTTCTTATTACGCATCTAAACATAGATTATGTCTACATACAAACTAAAAATTTTATGAATCTGGAAATTCAAAACGAAACCGAGGCAGCGGTAAACAATCTCTGGTGGTTCACGTGGCCATAAACGAACGTTCGGAGAAAACGACTGTCTGGGCTGCAAAACACAGAGATGTCTGTTTCAGCACCACTTTATCATGCAGGCAGGCACTGAAAAACAAATATCCGACCATTCACGTGCCCACAAATAATCTACAGACTGCGACAGGGATCACCATGCATTCATGCTTCGTGCTAATCGATTGCCTACCTCCGCTCTTTAACAAAACACCACATGATGGCCAACTATCCTTGTGATGATGATGATTTGTCAACCGGTAATGCATTGGTCCATGCGTCCGATCGTCCAGACGTTCGCGTTCGCGGGCCGCGGTACCAGCCCAACAACGTAACAGTCGTATACTCTTGTCCACTGGCCTCTACTTGTTGTCTCCATTCTCCAGAAGGCTCTCCACCGCAACGGCGCAAATCGTGCTCCACCGCGACCGTGCTTCGCAGCGCCTCAACCGTGGGGTTCCTCCACGGGCTGCTGGCCTCGTCAACGCCTCCTGGAGTCTGTAATCCTCCCGTTGGCGGTGCCCCGAGGCTAGCCACCGCCCCATCATGCCCCCTGGCCGATCCGCAGTTGCCCCCTGCCCGCTCCGCTCCAAGGCTGCGGTGTCCCCTGGCCGGTCTGCCGATGACACGAAGCTCCATCGTCGAACTCAAAGAAATGGAGGGCGGCTTCGCTTCGGCCACCGCCCCATTGCGTCCCCCTGGCTAGTCGCAGCTACCCCCTGCCCGGTTCGATCCAAGGCTGTGGTGTCCCTTGGTCGGTCTGCTAACGACGCGAAGCCCCATCGCCGGGCTCAAAGAAACAGAGGGCAGCTCTGCTCTGACCGCCGCGCTTGATAGCTATTGCGCCCCCTGGCCAGTCGCTCTACGCCACCGACGAGCTCTACACCGATGAACTTCACACGCCGACGAGCCTCCATTTCTCCCAAGCAGCAAAGAGATGTTGCGCTGAAAGCGCATGTTGCAAGTGTACATTTCAAATGTTTCAGAGATATGTTGCAAGTGTTTCATACGGATGTTGCAAAAATAGATTGGGATGTTGCATATGTTGCAATGGTTTGTACACGTATGTTGCAAGCGTTTGTTCCTAATGTTTCATCTATTTTTTTCATACGTATGTTGCAAGTGTGTTTATCTGGATGTTGCATATGTTTCACACATATGTTGCAAGTGTTTTATCTGGACGTTGCGTATGTTTTGTAATGGTTTTTAAGTGTTTTTCAGGTGTTTTTTTAAGTGTTTCAGACGCATGTTTCAAGTATTTCAACCCCGGTATGGTGTCGAGCTGAATGGTTTGCAGCATCAGCAGGTCGCTGCAGGAGGAAGGGACAGGAGGGAGAGGTGCCAATGCTAATATGCTATGCATTCGTCTGGTTGCGTCTTATTTTTTTGTTGTCAAAACAAGTTTATAAAACATGTTTAAACATCAATAGAATGCTTTTAGAATTTTCTATTTTTTCTAGATATTTTTCCTATTTTTTAGAGATAAATCTAATTTGTAGAAACTTCTAGAGATATTTTTATTTTCATGAGATGTAAATATTTTATTTGGATTCGTTGTATCCGAATTTATCACCGGTAATTTTTTTTTGGATTTTAGAAGCTTAAAAACATTTTCCGTGGTTTAATAACCTTATGAAGTATTTACCGGATGTTTTTAAGTAAAAAAGGATAAAACCGCCTTAAAATCACTTTAAAACGTATTGGGAAGTGATTTAAAGAGTTTTGAAAAAAAATAGAAGGTAACATATCCAGTTTTAAGGTTTGAAAAGAAAAATCAAATTACATGGCAATTTAAGGAGCTAAAACTAAAATGGACCGTTGCCTCCATCGGCTGGTACGGAAAAACACTGATCATACTAAAACACTGTTCGTACTGATTTGTTAGGAGAAAAAGGCACTGTTTTAGTTAGAAAACAAGCCGAACAAGCATGCTTACCTCGTCTGAATGGGCCAGGGCAGTCCAAATAGGCCTTTGAGCCCCCAAAAGAATTGAAGGCCTAAAACGGAAGAAAGGCCCATCTGGCGTCTCCCTGGCCGAGGCGAGCGTCGAACCCCGCCCGCACCTGGCTGGCCAGGAGAGACGGCGCCGCCCTCCAGTGCCCCTGCGGTGCACTCCTCCGGCGCCTCAGCGTCCCCACCATCTAGCGCCGTCAGCGATCGCCCTTCCCCGTGAGTCGAAAGGCCCATCTCGCGTCTCCCTGGCCGAGGCGAGCGTCGAACCCCGCCCGCACCTGGGCCGCCCAGGAGCGACGGCGCCGCCCTCCAGCGCCCCTGCCGTGCACTCCTCCGGCGCCTCCGCGTCCCCGCCCTCTAGCGCCGTCAGCAGTCGCCTGTCCCCGTGAGTTCGTTGTTTTGAGATTCAATTTACAGTTGTTTCGCTCGACGAGTTGCCTTGATTCCTCAACCCGTAGTTTAGTCTGAATAATTCACTTGGGCGAGTAATCTTCCCACAGCAGCGCCTCCCATCGCCCTCCTCCCCGCCCCAGGCCGTGGAATAGCGCCCGTCCGGCGCCGCCATCCGCCTGGAGAAGCCCGCTGGCCGCTCGGAGCCGCCGACCGCCGGCCTGTGACCCCTGAGGGTAGTTCCTGCTTATCCACCCTCTCCTTTAAGAACATGCGTGAGATTAGCCCCTGTTCTCCGATTTGCTCTGTCTAGGCCATTTGCAACCGATGATCTCCTGGTATGCTTGCTTGTTACAGAGCATTAGCTATCTTGTGCCTATGCTTGCATTTGTCCTGAAAGATTGTTCCGTTCATAGTATACTTGGTGTGCCAGGTGCATGCACTGGCCTTAATATTTTTTTTGTTAATACAGACTTATTGAACTAACATGTATGGAATTTCAGCAAGGCATACTAATATAGAAATGGCTAGTATTTAAGCAGTTGTTGTATGCAAATTACATATGTATGTACCAATTTCGAACTGCAATTTATCCTTTGGTCTATCTCTTGCTATTTTAGAGTCGAAGTATGTGTTCATGTCAATTAGTTGATTTGTGCAACCTTTTTATCCATATATTCATGGAAATAGGTGGCATATTTTATGTACATGAAAAACTCCGAGCCTAGAGTAGTGTGGGATGCAGTGTCACATAGAATTTTTATAGATATTTGCTTGGAAGAATTGACTGCTCATAATATTCAATGGAAATGTGACTTGAATATGAAGAGGACATGGGAACAGAATAGTGGTGTTTTCTTGATTAAAATGTAGCTCTACCAAGTATTGGATATATCATGTGTTTCCATATGACTTTGGTTTTGTTATCATGTGTGACCAAATTTCTATTTAAGAAACTAAAAAAATATTATTGCTATTGCCTTTTGCTTTGATGTGGTAAACAGATGAACTATCGTCAGCCTCAGGGGCGGGCATACAAGTCATTCTGCACTCAGGACAAACAATCAACTTGAAATAATCAAGATTGCCAAACACCCAGGGTCTCCAGCCATCAGCTTTTGCAGGCAGCAGCTTTCAGAAAATTCAGTTTGTCAGTTCAACGAGTCTCAGAATAGCCAAAACAAACAGGGCCAAGGTACGCCGCCCTTTCCCTTCCCTTCCCTTCCTGGTGTACTGAACCGAGCATCCCCAAGCTATATGCATTTGAATCTGTCCCAATCACCAGTATTTACATGTATGTATCCTACACACTAACTTTGATTTTTTGGCATTAATTATCGAGTGTACACCACTGTCCTTACTGCGCAGTGTGTTTGCAGAAATGCCCCTGTGGCAGCTGCTTCTCCATGCACGGCAGCGGTGCTTGCCTCGGACGCCTCAACTCTCCGGACTCCTCTTTCTTTGCCGCGAACTCTCCATCCTCCCTTCCAAAGCCTTGGCTGCACCACCGCAGCGCCCGTCTCCATATGTTCAAGTCCGGCTGCCCCAAAGCTCACCTCAGTCCAGTTCTGACCTTCTTGGGTCCGGCTTCCACATTGATGTGGTTGACTCCGACCTCTGGACCCCGTCCTTTGGCTTCTCTTCAGAGGCCACAAGGGGCAATGAGTACCTGGATGACCTCCACCAGAATGACGACAGTGAAGTGCAAGACTTTAATGATGAGATCGATGACATGCGGCACCGCAAGAAGTTGTTCTACAAGCTGGACCGACAATCCAAGGAATACGAGGAGAACAGCCTGCCCTTGCGCCGAAGCAAGAATAGGGACAAAAGCAATGCCAAGAACCCAAAGGAATGCAAGGTGGAGCCTGCCAAGTCTGTTTCTTCCAATGCTCCAAAGCCAACAAAGCGTGCAATTAGAGATGATGACATGGTTGAGGTGAAGCGGGAACGGATGCCAACATTCAACCAGATGACTGATCCTTACCACCACCCTTTCTGCCTCGATATACATGTTACAAAGGGGTCAGTGCGTGCTTGCTTTGTGCACCGAGTGACGAGCAGGGTGGTTGCGGTTGCACACTCTATATCAAAGGATATGAAGTTTGATCTTGGTTCAAAGAAGGGTAAGGGTATGAAGGCATGTGCGGCAGTTGGTGCATTGCTTGCAAAGCGTGCGTTAGAGGATGATATTCACAATGCACTGTATACACCAAGGAAAGGGGATAGGATTGAAGGAAAAATTAAGGTTGTGTTGCATGCAATTATTGAGAATGGAGTTGATGTGAAGGTGAAACTGAAGCAAAGAAAGCCGATAAAGGTATTCCATAGTATGTACTGTTGCATTTATTTTATGATGCTGAGCTTCAGACTTTAAGAATTTGTTATGAGTTTATAATCATTTTCCTTCAGGCACTACATATCAAGTATGGCATATTCAGTACTTCTACTTCATCAAAGTATTAACTGATTGATGCTCAAATGCATTAACTCATACACAGCTGATATTCAGGCGAGCTCAGAACTAAATCTTGAAAATGCAAAAGTGTCAATAAGTAGTTACTTAGTGAAAACCTAAATACAAGTTCTTTTGGAATCACATTGAAACAGGTGTTTTTGTATGTGTACATATATAGCTTATTGGTCTGTGCATGTGCATCCCTTTTCTGACTTCCTTTAAGAAAAAAAATTCAGCTTGATAAAGTAATAGAAGGACAAAGGTTAGGTGTGTACAATCTTTTCTGAGACTAGTAACAATGCATTAATCAAAATTTATCGTCAAAACATTCAAAGAAAGTTGAACTTTCAAAATTCTGAAAAGAAGTAAAGATGAACAAAACTGGTTTTCTATGTTCCACTCAATCATGAAATTATGAGCATACATTTGTGGCTTTCAAAATCTTTGACCTCCTTGGCCTGTGTTTATTGCTGCAAAACTTCCATTAGAGAGGTTTTCAGCATCTACATAACTCTTGTGCACCTGTGGAGAAGTCCTGAAGCGTTTGTGGTCAGTCCTTTTTGCTGCAGAACCAAAGATATTCACTTCACTTGTGCTATAAACTTACTTGCTGGCAATGATGGCTGTCATTTGGTTGAATGCTTACTATAGAAAATACTCCACCATATAGAGATAGAGAAGCAAAATGTTCGGTGGAAGAAGTTTTCTTTATCCAACATTGTACTGCTGAAATCATTGGTTTTCGGTACATTACCCTGCTCAACGTGCTCACTAGTTACAGCTTTAATGAGACAAAAAATTCAATCTGCCCTCTGCAATTCGAGTCCCGACTATCAGAGTTGTAATTTCTGTATGGCATCGCCGCCTTCAAGAACTAACAATGCTTGGCCTCACTATTTCTTTTACCTTCATTTGCAGAATACATTGGCGTGCAGCACTGCAGCATGATATGTCCCCTGGCAGGTCAACTATTGTTCAGCACAATTCCTGAGTAGCATTGAGCCCGATGCTTCAGAACCCGTCTAATTTCGTCTGCAAAACTGATAGAGAAGGGGCACAAGCAGCTGAAGGAGAATTTTTTTTTCTTTAATTTTAACATTTTTTCGAAACTAATTTTAAATCTAACACTCTCGGTTTTCTTTTAAAACTAACACTTTTGGCCGCGCCTATTGCCCTGGCGCGGCCAAATGCCTGTGCCGCGGCATGTATGGTGGCGCGGCAGAGGTCTGACGTGGCGGCGACCAGAAGCGCTGACAGCTGACGTGGTAAGGCTCTGCCGCGCCACCGATCTTGGCGCTAAAGTGCCGCGCCTTGATCCGTGGCGCGGCAGAGCCGGGTATAACCTCTGCCGCGGCCCGCGTGCCCGAGCAGTCACCGTTCCCCGAGCAGCGCAGCAAGGCAGCCTGGCTGCCGCGCCCGCCTTCGCCCGCGCATGCCTTCGCCCGCGCATGCCCGCTGCCGTGCACGCCGTCCGCCGCGTCCGCCCACGCTAGCCAGGCAGCTAGGCCGCCGGCCGCCTGGTGCGGCCGCTGCGCCCGCACGCCGGCGTGCCTCCCCCTCCGGCTAGAACCTCCGGTCACGCACGGCGGCTGCCCGCCTAGGCCTGAGCCCGCGCCTCCCGGCCTGGTCCTACGCGCTGCAGCGAGGTACTCCACTAATATAGTTAGCACAATTAATAAAGTTAGTAAAATTATTAAAGTATAGTTAGTAAAGTTAGTTAGTTTAGTTAATATACGTAATATAATAAGTTAGTATAGGTAGTAAAGTTAGGTAGTTTATTTAGTACAGTTATTGACTCTAGTTGTATATTGGATTTAGTGTAATTAGTTGTTGTAATTAGTCTTGTATAGATGTTAATATTTGATTAGTTAGTATAGTTATAGTTAGAAAATGTATTAATGTTAATATGGACATTACGTACGATGATTTCGACGACTTAATAAAGTTTCTTAAAATATTTTTGCAGATGAATTGTTGTGTTAGAGTTTTGTACGGAGGAAGTGTTAGGAGAGAGATGGTATGTTTGAGGATATGAAAGAAGAATTGAAATGGTTTGATGAACCTCCTAGCTTCAACGACCTTTGTGTTTGTTTGAATATAAAGTTTGACGGTGATTTCACATTGAAGGGGAGGTTTGATACTGGGAAGACTAGGGCACACTATGTCCTTATGCCCTTGCGCGACCCTGCTCACTGGTCCCGCTACACTAGGGTTCTCCAAGGTTCCAATGTGCCCATGGCTGAGGTGGTGGTGGAGAATGGGTACATGATGCATGGTGTTCAGGACGGCTCGTCCATTGATGGCTTTGGAGGCAATGAAAAAGAATTAGGGGTCGAAGGGGAAGCAACTTAGGATAACATGGATTTGGACGGTTAGTTGACGCAGAAGCAGTTTTATTCAACTGCAGTAGGCTGTATAAGCAATGACTTCGATGTGAATGAGTTCGAACGGGAAGAGAAGGAGCAGGAGGAGGACAAAATCGGTGATGTAGTTAGTAGTGATTCAGACGATTCTGATGATGACCAAGGAGATACAGATGATATGGCAACAATGGCTAATGCCATGCCAGTATCGGTTCATACTATGCCATTACTAGTACCAACTGAAGTTTTGTAAGGTGTCCATGCTCAGGGTAGACTAGTCATAGATTTGGCTACAGATGATACCCCCTATGATTCATGGGCCAGAATTAGCGAAGCGCAGCAGTATGTTCCACCACCACCTTACACAGCGACTGAGCTTGAGCAACTAAGGTCCAAGAACGTACCTTTCAAGGGTGTTCCGAACTATAGGGATGTCAGCATGATGGATATGACAGTTTGTGATACCGGTCTCCAGCTGTGTAGGAATTCATTGTATAACCATGAGAAAGAAACCCTTAGGAAGGGGATGATATTCAACACAATGTCAGAGATGAAACTCTTCCTTCAGGACTATGCTCTGTACCACCATAGACCGTACACCGTCACTCATTCAGAACAGGAGTTGAGGTACCACTTGATATGCAAAAACGGTTGTCTGTGGAGGTTAAATATACGAAGGAGACAGAGTGATGGCAAGTGGAGGATAACTAAAGTTGTTGAACCCCACACTTGCCTAGACAATAGGGGGAAGGAAAATCATCAGCAGCTCACTGCACGTTACCTTGCCCGTCGTATATTGGGGCTCGTTGATGACAATAATGACATCTCGGTATCTTCTTTACAATAGTACATATCTGGATTCGTTGGGTACGATGTGACGTACGGAAAGGCTTGGCGTGCTAAGCAAATTGCTCTGGCGATTCGATGGGGTACTTGGGAGGAAGCGTACAACAGGGTGCCTCGCATCTTATGTGCAATGCATTATTACAACCCTGGCTTGAAATGGTTTGTGGACACCGGAGGGATGTTTTTTCGGGACCCATTGAGGCATGTCCTCTATCGTGTGTTCTGGTCGTTTGCGCAAACGGAACATGCATTCCAGTTTTATCGGCCAGTCGTACTTGTTGATGGCACTTTCCTAATAGGAAAGTACAGGGGCACCTTGATGATGGCTGCTGCTATTGATCCTGAGGATCAGATAGTACCCATGGCATTTACTTTGGCAAAGGGAGAGAACAATGAATCGTGGTCATGGTTCATGCGGCTTCTACGTGTGCAAGTGCTTGGCCCAACTCGCACTATATGTTTGATCTTCGACCGTTACGCAGGGCTTCTTAATGCTGCAGCTGAGCATATAGATGGTGCATGAGACACCTTGGCGCTAATTTCTGGCGGCGTCAGCGGAAGCAGGAGGTATGTGACAAGGTAAAGGCTCTATGTTGTGTACGTATAGAGCACCAGTTCAAGGAGACAAAGAGAGAACTAGACAAGATGGTAAATGCAGCGGGAAAGGCCTGGTTAGAGGCGCAGATGGAACAGAAGGCTCAATGGACGTTAGCATATGACGAGGGGGGGTTCAGGTATGGCATCATGACCACTAACTCCTCGGAGTCCTTCAACCGTGTATTCACCGGAGTTCGATCGTTGCCTGTGTCTGGAATTGTTGAGTTCTCCTTTCATAAGTGTAATGAATATTTTGTGAAGAGGTGGAAGCTTGTGCAGAGGAATATAGCTGAGCAGGGGCGTTTTGGAAAGGCCGGAGCTAAACATTTGAAGGAGGCCGAGGAATTGGCCAAGCAGCACACCGCCAAGCCGTATGGACCCCGCCGCCATATCTTTAGTGTACGGGGCAAGGGTGGCACAAGCTTGGGCGGCGAACGCTATGGTGGACGAAACTACCGAGTTGATCTTGAAAAGGTAGAGTGCAGTTGCAACGTCCCTCAGATCATGCATGCACCTTGCTCTCATATGATCACGGCCTACAGGGTTTGTGGGTACAACTATGAGGATCTGCCATATATGTCACCCTTGTATCTCCATTCGAACACCGTTAGTATTTGGGAGATGAGTTTCGAGCCATACCTTGACCCGACACAATGGCCACCTTATAATGGTTATGACTACGTGCCACATCCGGATCTAATGAAGGTAGAAAAGGGTAGGAGGAAGAAGCGTCTGAAGGGTGACATGGACGCCATGAGAGGGTACGACGAAGACATGTATGGCGGGGGATACTTCAACGAGACCCATGGCAGCAATCTTTGCTCCGTTTGCAAACAATCTGGCCACAAGGCTAGCCGGCATAGAAGACAGCAGGTGATTTCATATTGTGTTCGTATTGCATAACAAGTAGTTCAAATTTTGCAATGCTACATAATGTTAATCTGAAAATTGTTAATTTGAATACTCTAACCCTTTTATTTATCATTTTGTAACAGGATGGCTCCTCCCACGGCGCACCAGCTGATCCCCCTTCTTGATGTGGAGTACGACGACCCCTTCTTCTACCGGACGACGAGGTTCATTACGTCGTGGGACTTAGTTCATTACGTCGAACTTATGTCGAACGAATATTGTCGTTGAAAACTTGTAGACTCATAAACCAATGAAAATGTTGTATGGCAACTTGTCGTCCATTTATTTGCTTCATGTTCGTTTTGTACAACACTTGTAGTTTTGTACAGCACCGACAATAACTCAATTTTGAACGCATGATACAAACAGATGTGATCACTTAAGATCGATCATGGGTAATCCGAGTACATGATACATGGGTACAATACATCAGTAGTTCAAATAGAATATAAGACAACACAGTAGAATTTCTACTACATAGCTACATTGATCATTAATAAAGCATGGAACTAACAGACGTCGCAATCAAAAACCCTCAGTCAGAAACATACTGAGTAAGCAACTCGTCGTCCGAGTACCAATCCTCAACAACAACCCTGTTGCTGTGGCTAGGCTCACCTGCGTTGCTCTAACCTGCCTATTGCTTGTAGTAAGCGGTCTCCGCTTCATCTACGGCCGCTGCGTCCTGAGTGAAGAACGCGTCGTCATCCTCCTCTGCCTGTAAGCCCACCTCTGCTAGAGCGATGAGCTCGCTTAGTCTGCCAGTGTCATCCTCATCCTCCACTGCTTGCAAGCCCGCCTCTGCTAGAGCAACTAGCTCACTAAGTCTGCCAGTGTTGTCCTCATCCTCGTCCCCCTCATCAGACAACACAATTGGGAATTGAACGGTGCGACCAGCTTGCGATCTATGCTCATCTAACTTCTTCTCCTCATACCTTGCACGAGCCACCTCTGCGGCATGATCCTCGCTGCAACCAATCCCTTCATGTATAAAATGCAATCAGTTAGCAACGCGATTATATTACATTTAAAATCAGGCAACAAAAAAAGGCGTTCAAGCATTCACTGCCACATAATGCAGCAACATGCTCGTTCAAGGCCTGCATCTGTACTCTTGTCTCCTCCCTTGCCTCCTTCCTTGCCCTCTCCTCATCTAATGTCATCCGCCTCTCTAATCCCCATTTGTTAAGCCCAACATCGATCGGGTTACAAATATCACGCTGTCTAGCA